CGGTGTGGGTCCCCCCCCGTGTAGCGTGCGGTCGGTGTGGGTCCCCTTGATATAGTTGCTGTTTCTCTGACGTTGGGCTGATTATTTTTTCCCTCTTCCAGGCGGCTCTCCTGTGATTGGACCATGTCGGAGGAGTGGGCGGGGAAGACCCTCGAACTCCACCCAGAGGATCCGCGCTTTGATTCCGGCCTTGAGGAGTCTCTGCAGTCTTTCCAGGATGAAGGTCTCCCCCGATTTCCAGGAACCTCCAATCCGGAGTCCTCCCTCCCCCACCAGTCCAAAACTATCGAGCAGCAGGTCGAGGCCCAGGACACCGAGCGTATAGACTCCTCCTATGGATCCGCCTCCATCATTGAGGGCCTGCCCACTGCCGGGCACCCCGAGAGCTGCCCTGCGGGCACAGAGCCCACCCCACAGACTCTGATTGAGGAACCGGCCGTCCTGGTGGCAGAGAGAGTTCCACAGACTGGCAGTGTGCCCCTTGACGAGGATATACCCTCCGCCGTCACAGAACCCGACCCACAGACTGCCGGCCTTCCACCCAGGGGGGTCACCAGGAGCCTGAGCACCGAGCACATCAACAGCTTCACCTACCTGTCAGAAGAGGGCGACACGTGAGTAAAGCTGCCGTGTACCCTGCGTAGTACATAAGGGGGGTGTTTTGTATAATGGTAATGGCGACGGAGGAAAAAAAAACTCCAGCATGCCCCCCCAAACCAGTGAGTGGCTATTAGGTGACGGGGTAATGACTAATAAATGTTGGGGTACATGTTGGTCACATGATCACTTTGTGAACGGACCTCCTGTGCCATGGTGGGCATCCTGTGGCGTGGTATACTGGTAATACGGCTCTGTGAATATCGATACCCGCACCTCACACTTTGCATCATGGAGAGTTCACACGGGTCGGAGTCCCACGCCCAGTGTATGTGGGTCACCCTGGCGGGTGATTTGGGGTTTCACAGAGCGCGTGGGAAGCGAGCCGAGTGACTCTTAAAGTGAAAGTTCACTTAGAAGTAAGAAGAAGACTTTCTCCCCCCGCCTTCCTCATCGACAGAAAGCGTACCAGGCCGCCCACTATGAAGGCCCAGCACCCCCCTGCTTCTGAGAACCCCCAAAGGGGGCGCCAAGCACGGCGCCCCTGTGATAGAGCATACCATACCACCCTGCGCTGCCATGTGTGAGGGGCCCGTGTGCTTTCATTGCTGCACCAGAGGAGCTTACACTCTAATGTCCCCCCTCAGTCACACACTTATTTTACATGTATATGGCTCTGACATATACCGCAGCGCTGTACAGAGAACACTGAGCCAGTCCATCAGTCTCTATACTAGAGGAGCTTACACTCTAATGTCCTTCCCCACAGCTCCTCACTTATTCATTGATATAGCTCTGACATATACCGCAGCGCTGTACAGAGAACACTGAGCCAGTCCATCAGTCTCTATACTAGAGGAGCTTACAATCTAATGTCCTTCCCCACAGCTCCTCACTTATTCATTGATATAGCTCTGACATATACCGCAGCGCTGTACAGAGAACACTGAGCCAGTTCATCAGTCTCTATACTAGAGGAGCTTACAATCTAATGTCCTTCCCCACAGATACTCACTTATTCATTGATATAGCTCTGACATATACCGCAGCGCTGTACAGAG